CACAGAAAGCTCTCTCCAGAAACAATTCAATACAGTTGTTTAAAGTAATCGTCTACTTGTTTAGATAGAAGCAGTGCTCTGTGCTTTCACCACTAGTTATTTTACAGAACTGATAATAGCATTGCAGAAGAATATATCTGTTCACAGAAACTAGTGGTTGTTGGAGAAAAATCTCCCCCCGCCCCTACGCCTCCTTCTCCACTGCCTTGGAGTCATCTGAACTCCTCCCACTCTAGGCTTCCTCCCACGATGGCCTCTCCTCCTCGGTCACTCTCCTCCACACTCCTTCTCCACCACTCTCGATGCCCTTGCTCCCCTCACTTCTTGAAGCATCTGCTACAGACGAAAGTCACCCTGGTATACCAGCCACCTATGCTCCCTTAAGGCACAAGTGTGAGCTGCTGAACGCACCTGGCTCAAATCCTTCAGCAGATTTGGCTGGACCTTATCAAATCTTATGGTTCTACCCTCATCCCCGCTAAATCGTCATTCTACTCCAAGACAATCTTGAAGACCAAAGACAACCCCAGGCTCCTCTTCTCCATCACCATCCGGCTCCTCCGCCCACCCTCTCACACTTCACCCATCCTCACCACCAACGCCAACTGTGAGGCAATGCTGGACAAAACCAAATTCGAGAGGATCTGCTCAGCTGCTTCAGCCCTTCCTTCTACTACCCTCTCTCCATCTTCCCCTCACACCCTAGCTGCTACCCGTCCTTTCCTCCACATCTTCGAACCCATCTCCCACTCCTCTCTCACCACCCACATGAAACCAACCACCTGCCCCCTCAACCCAATCCCTACTCCTCTCCTTACCTACTTACCTACCTTGCCCCTCTACTCACAGATATCATAAACCTCTTTGTGTCTACTGGTACCATTCCCATGCCTTTAAAATCTGCCGTCATCACTCTTATCCTTAAAAAACCCTTCCTGGAAACTGGAAGTGGTTGAAGTGATGGAGGGCGTCAGAAGAGTCATGGATGTAGGTGGGTAAGAACTGGACAAAAGAGGGAAAAATAGAATCTAGGTAAGAGGAAATAAGTTCTGTGGGGCACAAACAGGTTGAAACGATGTGTCTACCAAGGTAGTCCTGTGTGTGAATCTTGGGGAGGAGGAAGAGATGTCTTCCAACCTCATTGTTCTCCAAACCTGCACAGCCCGCCTCAAATCTCCTCCCCAAAATCCACAACTTAAGAACTTGCCACAATTCATAGAGATTTTGAAAGTGTAGGACAACGGGTTTTTACAGGCTAAGAACAGGTGAAATTTCAAGGCTCCATTTTCTAAATTCTTAAGTTCTGTCTCAAATTAGAGTCTGCTCCCAATTTAAGAGAATTTAACACTACTTGGTCAAGAGCATGTGTTTGGCCAAATGAATCGATTTCTGGTTTCTGCTGTGCTGAATTCATTCTGTTCTCTGTGTACATCTTCTTAGTTTCTGATACTCAACCACTTCTCTGAATTATTTCATTGTGAACGTAAGACCCCATAGATGTGTATAAAGTTTCAAATGGGATTGAAAATCTAAGGCCAGAACAATAAATACTTTGGGGTGCACCAAGACAGTAGAACAAGAGGACATAGGTTTGGAGTAGCAAAGGGCAATTTCAGGACAGCCAGCAGAAATTTTTCTTCACTTGGAAACTAATTAACGACTAGAACAAGTTGCTGAGAAGGGAGGTTGAGGCCAGGACACTGACGTCATTTAGAGAGTAAAGTGATACTGTGATTGGCGGATGGTCAGGTGGGTATTTTGGAGCGATAATTATAAGAATAATGTTTGCATTTTACATAGAACCTTATGACGTCTTTGAGATGTCTCAAAGCGCTTCACAGAATATACTGTAAAGTGAATTGACTATATTTTGTGGGCAAAACACAGCAGCCAGTTGTGCACAAAGTATTGAGTGACCAAATTATTTTTTTTGATGGGATTATTACACCCGGAAAATTGATCTGCCAATTGACTAACAACCGTGTTCCTACTTACTGCTAGGGAAAACAGGCGAGTGGAGTAAGGAAACTTGCCTAACGTTTCGTACTGCCCAGGAATCAAATTCAGGTCCTCTTGCTTGCGAGGTGAGTGCTCTAACCACCAAGTTACAGGGATGAGATCAGATGAGCCAAGAGCCTTCTTTATCTGACCCAATCTTGTGACCTATTGCTATTGTTCTTCCTTGGGTTCCACCTAAATCATCAATGTTGTCCTTTTTATTGGCTTCAGCCCCCAGATTCGCTATCTCTCCTAATTGAAGAAATCATCTGGAAATTGGATCAGTCGCATACTGCAAGAGTGAGAAGCAGATTGGTCACTGCTGACTGACTTTCAGCTTTTCTCTTCGTTATTCCTGTTGTCCTAGTGCTCACCTTTAACATCAGAGATGGGCGCCCACGTTTAAAACGAAGATATTCATCCGATCAGCAGCAGATCACAGTTCTTCTGCTGGAAACCTTAGTTGGATTTGTCATTCCGTTCATCACACTGATGGTCTGTTACACTTTTATTTTCAAAAGAGTCAAACAGATGATCTTCCAAACCAAGGACAAGGGTACAACTGGAAGGCTGATTGTGGGTGTGGTGATGTTGTTTGCACTTTGCTGGTTACCATATCATACAAGAAATGTCATTAAGGTTTTGTGAGTGCTGAACAAGACTTCAAACCCAGAACTCTCCAAAAGATTGAAACGTATGGGTAATTGCATTGGAACCCAAAAAGTTTTAATTTTCATTAGTAACACAGTTAATCCTATCCTCTATGCATTTGCTGCTCGGAGCTTCAAGAGTGGATTTAAATTGTCCAGTATCGCAAGACTCTTTGATGAAATAAACAATTCTTCCAAAGAAAAGAACCAAGAGACGAGAGAAATACTAATCTAAACCACAGCTGCGTGAACTTTTAAATCTATTTAAATTGATAATGGAGATACTCTTACCAAAACGTTCCTCTGTACATTTACAATCTTGTTGCAGACCGCTTCTTTAAAAAACAATGTTTAGACAATCTCTTTTTTTATTGCAATTGTATTTTCCTGCAGAATGAGTAAACATTGACTGGTACATAGATAATTGTAAAACACATTTTATAATAGCTTATTAGGTTACCTGATGGTTTGCGTTGTTTATATTCAGTCACATTCATAGCTAGCAGGGTGGGTGCGTGGAATAGTATCACAATAATAATCCTTGCATTTTTGAAATTTGGTATTATATATGTATGAAAGGTATTTTTGTGTTAGTCTAGAACTGTTATACAGTGGAGGCAACATTGAATGCTTTGTTCATTTATTCCACAAGTGCAAAAAACTGTAAAGTTGCAAGTCAACAACTGCCGTTTGATCATTTATCCATTTTCACGCTGTTCAGTAAGAAATCGATAATAAACACTTTGTCACCTGTGGCCTTTTTCTGCTTAAAGAGTGTGTCGGACCCCAGCTCTCTTACAGCTTCCCGTTGTACACCCATCAGGAATTAATCTTTGATGCTTCCTTGTAAATGTGTCTGATCACCATACAGAGCAATGCATTGCTCAGTGATCCCGTGTTTTGAGTTAATGTCATGAATGGATTGCCAGCATCTTTTCCTTCAACAAGTCTGCTTCAAACAGCTACGGTCTTAATGTTATTTATAGGGTTCGTTCCCCAAACTTCGCTAAATTTACTCATGTTTGTGGGTGGGTATTTTGGATTCTTCCCCATTTGATAAACCAGGTGGTACAATTAGATTTCCCTATTGAAGCCTCGCAACAACAATGTGTAACAATACGTATTGGCCTATAAAATAATGAACTGCTGTGTGTCTGCATAGAAACGTTTCCTGTCAGTACTTCCGAGACAGTGTGTGACAAAATTACATCTTCATTCCATTACGTCAGAGTGGTCCAACCTTTTGGCTGCCGTGGGTAGCATTCCCTATTTGAGAAAGGTCCACAGGCAGCATCCAGCGTGTGCCGCCAAGTGGCCCGTGGGCCGCATCTGCCCCAAGACCATTCCCAACATTCCAACCCGCTCCCGCCCTTCCCTGGTGAACGTCCTCCCAGGGCAGCGGCAGGAGCCGGCGGTTGGAAGGATGCAGTGCGCAGAGCCTTTACTGCAATGTGTCAGGAAGTCAAGCGCGTCTCTTACCAACCACATCCTTAGCAACCAATCACCGGCTCCTGCAGCTGCAGAGGGTGACCCGCGCTTGGGAGAGAGACTGGGAGAGAGGGTGGGGATGGGTGAGAGAGAGAGGAGAGAGGGGAGGGAGTAGTAGATGGAAGGACAGAGGCAACTGAGCGGATCCCCTCGAATTTGGTTTCGAGGAAGTCCAGCATCGCCTCGCAGTTGGCGAGTTGGAGGTGAGGATGGGTGAGGCGTGAGAGGGTGGGCAGAGGAGCCAGTTGGTGATAGAGAAGAAGAGCCTGGGGTTGTCCTTGGTCTCCAAGATTGTCTTGGAGTTGAACGACGACTTAGAGGAGGCGAGGGCAGAGCAGTAAGATTTGATAAGCTCCAGCCAGATCTGCTGATGGACCCTTAAGATGGTGCATTTAGCAGCAGGCACCTCTGTCTTAAGGGAGCAGAGTTGACTGGTGTAACAGGGTGACTTTCGTTAGTAGGACATGGTGAGGGGAGCAAGGGCATCAAGAGTGGTGGAGAGGAAGTTGTGGAGGAGAGTAACCGAGGAAGATAGGTCATTACTGGAGCAAGTCCAGACGGGGAGGAATTCAGATGACTTCAAGACAGCAGAGGAGCGATGGCGGGGGGGAGAAGTGGGCGGAGTTTCTGTTAGCAGAATGTCTTTTGCTCATGTTGCAATGTTGCATTACGTTTGGGAAAACAATACTCTTCTGCAATGCTGTTATCAGTTCTGTAAAATAGCTAGTGGTGAAAGCACAGAGCACTGCTTCTGTCTGAAACAGCAGCTGATTACTTTAAAGAACGGTATTTGAATGGTTTCTGGAGAGAGCTTTCTGCGAACAACTGATTGTAAAAGCATTGGAGCAAATTGTTACCAGAATGATGCCGGCCAACATGTCTTCAGGACTGAATACAACTCATCACACTGATGTTGCAGTGCGTACTGCAATTGCCTGTGTTTATGTTTTTATTTTTCTTGTTGGAGCAACAGGGAATTCCATAGTGATCTGGAATATCTTCATGAATATTAAGCAGCGATCTCCCACCGTCTCGCTGATATTAAACCTGGCTGTGGCAGATCTCATGGCTCTCGTCTCGGTGCCTTTTATCGCTTCTGATATTGCACATGCTCCGTACCTTGGATTGGTTTTCTGGAAAATCAGCGGCTATTTACTCTTCTCATCCATGTACACCAGCGTGTTCCTCATCACAGTCATGAGCATTGAGCGCTTTGTGGCTGTGCTCTATCCGATCACTGCTCAGAAATGGCGGCAACGAGGATATGTTGGTAAAGTGGTCACTGCTGTCTGGCTTTCAGGTTTTCTCTCCGCTATTCCTGTCATCCTAGTGGTTGCCGCTGACATCAGAGATGGGCGCCCACGTTTAAAACGAAGATATTCATCCGATCAGCAGCAGATCACAGTTCTTCTGCTGGAAACCTTGATTGGATTTGTCATTCCGTTCATCACACTGATGGTCTGTTACACTTTTATTTTCAAAAGAGTCAAACTGATGAACTTCCAAACCAGGGACAAGGGTAAAACTGGAAGGCTGATTGCGGGTGTGGTGATTCTGTTTGCACTTTGCTGGTTACCATATCATATAAGAAATGTCATTAAGGTTTCGTCAGTGCTGAACAAGACTTCAAACCCAGAATACTCGAAAAGATTGAAAAGTATTTATAGTTACATTTCGATGCTTTCTAAAGTTTTAACTTTCGTTAGTAACACCGCTAATCCTATCCTCTATGCATTTGCTGCTCGGAGCTTCAAGAGTGGATTTAAAATGTCCAGTATCGCAAGACTCTTTGAACAAATGAACAATTCTTCCAAAGAAAAGAACCAAGAGACAAGTGAAATACTAATCTAAACCACAGCTGCATGAATTTTTAAATGTATTCGACTTGGTAATGGAGATACTCTTACCAAAACATTCCTCTGTACATTTACAATCCTGTTGCATACTGCTTCTTTAAAAAAACAATGTTTAGACAATCTCTTTTTTTATCTCAATTGTATTTTCCTGCAGAATGAGTCAACATTGACTGGTACATAGATAGTTGCAAAGCATAGTTTATAATCGTTTATTAGGTTGTCTGATGGTTCACTTCGATTGTTATTCAGTCACAGCTGTTAGCTAGCAGGGTGGGTGCGTGGAATAGTATCATAATAATATTCCTTGCATTTTTGATATTTGATTGTTTGATATTTGGTATTATACATGTATGAAAGGTATTTTTGTGTTAGTGTAGAACTGTTATACAGTGGAGGCAACATTGATTGCTTTGTTTATTCCACAAGTGCAAGAATCCATAAAGTTGCAAGTCAACAACTGCCGTTTGATCAATTATCCATTTTCACGCTGTTCAGTAAGACATCGATAATAAACACTTTGTCATCTGTGGCCTTTTTCTGCTTAAAGAGTGTGTCGGACCCCAGCTCTCTTACGGCTTCCCTTTATACACCCATCAGGAATTAATCTTTGATGCTTCCTTGTAAATGTATCTGATCACCATACGGAGCAATGCATTTGCTCAGTGATCCCGTGTTTTGAGTTAATGTCATGAATGGATTGCCAGCATCTTTTCCTTCAACAAGTCTGCTTCAAACAGCTACGGTCTTAATGTTATTTATAGGGTTCGTTCCCCAAACTTCGCTAAATTTACTCATGTTTGTGGGTGGGTATTTTGGATTCTTCCCCATTTGATAAACCAGGTGGTACAATTAGATTTCCCTATTGAAGCCTCGCAACAACAATGTGTAACAATACGTATTGGCCTATAAAATAATGAACTGCTGTGTGTCTGCATAGAAACATTTCCTGTCAGTACTTCCGAGACAGTGTGTGACAAAATTACATCTTCATTCCATTACGTCAGAGTGGTCCAACCTTTTGGCTGCCGTGGGCAGCATTCCCTATTTGAGAAAGGTCCACAGGCAGCAACCAGCGTGTGCCGCCAAGTGGCCCGTGGGCCGCATCTGCCCCAAGACCATTCCCAACATTCCAACCCGCTCCCGCCCTTCCCTGGTGAACGTCCTCCCAGGGCAGCAGCAGGAGCCGGCGGTTGGAAGGATGCAGTGCGCAGAGCCTTTACTGCAATGTGTCAGGAAGTCAAGCGCGTCTCTTACCAACCACGTCCTTAGCAACCAATCACCGGCTCCTGCAGCTGCAGAGGGTGACCCGCGCTTGGGAGAGAGACTGGGAGAGAGGGTGGGGATGGGTGAGAGAGAGAGGAGAGAGGGGAGGGAGTAGTAGATGGAAGGACAGAGGCAACTGAGCGGATCCCCTCGAATTTGGTTTCGAGGAAGTCCAGCATCACCTCGCAGTTGGCGAGTTGGAGGTGAGGATGGGTGAGGCGTGAGAGGGTGGGCAGAGGAGCCAGTTGGTGATAGAGAAGAAGAGCCTGGGGTTGTCCTTGGTCTCCAAGATTGTCTTGGAGTTGAACGACGACTTAGAGGAGGCGAGGGCAGAGCAGTAAGATTTGATAAGCTCCAGCCAGATCTGCTGATGGACCCTTAAGATGGTGCATTTAGCAGCAGGCACCTCTGTCTTAAGGGAGCAGAGTTGACTGGTGTAACAGGGTGACTTTCGTTAGTAGGACATGGTGAGGGGAGCAAGGGCATCAAGAGTGGTGGAGAGGAAGTTGTGGAGGAGAGTAACCGAGGAAGATAGGTCATTACTGGAGCAAGTCCAGACGGGGAGGAATTCAGATGACTTCAAGACAGCAGAGGAGCGATGGCGGGGGGAGAAGTGGGCGGAGTTTCTGTTAGCAGAATGTCTTTTGCTCATGTTGCAATGTTGCATTACGTTTGGGAAAACAATACTCTTCTGCAATGCTGTTATCAGTTCTGTAAAATAGCTAGTGGTGAAAGCACAGAGCACTTCTTCTGTCTGAAACAGCAGCTGATTACTTTAAAGAACGGTATTTGAATGGTTTCTGGAGAGAGCTTTCTGTGCACAACTGATTGTAAAAGCAATGGAGCAAATTGTTACCAGAATGATGCCGGCCAACATGTCTTCAGGACTGAATACAACTCATCACACTGATGTTGCAGTGCGTACTGCAATTGCCTGTGTCTATGGTTTTATTTTTCTTGTTGGAGCAACAGGGAATTCCGTAGTGATCTGGAATATCTTCATGAATATTAAGCACCGATCTCCCACCGTCTCGCTGATATTAAACCTGGCTGTGGCAGATCTCATGGCTCTCGTCTCGGTGCCTTTTTTCGCTTCCGATATTGCAAATGCTCCGTTCCTTGGATTGGTTTTCTGGAAAATCAGCGGCTATTTACTCTTCTCATCCATGTACACCAGCGTGTTCCTCATCACAGTCATGAGCATTGAGCGCTTTGTGGCTGTGCTCTATCCGATCACCGCTCAGAAGTGGTGGCAACGAGGACATGTTGGTAAAGTGGTCACTGCTGTCTGGCTTTCAGGTTTTCTCTTCGCTATTCCTGTCATCCTAGTGGTTGCCGCTGACATCAGAGATGGGCGCCCACGTTTAAAACGAAGATATTCATCCGATCAGCAGCAGATCACAGTTCTTCTGCTGGAAACCTTGATTGGATTTGTCATTCCGTTCATCACACTGATGGTCTGTTACACTTTTATTTTCAAAAGAGTCAAACTGATGAACTTCCAAACCAGGGACAAGGGTAAAACTGGAAGGCTGATTGCGGGTGTGGTGATTCTGTTTGCACTTTGCTGGTTACCATATCATACAAGAAATGTCATTAAGGTTTCGTCAGTGCTGAACAAGACTTCAAACCCAGAATACTCGAAAAGATTGAAAAGTATTGAAAGTTACATTTCGATGCTTTCTAAAGTTTTAACTTTCGTTAGTAACACCGCTAATCCTGTCCTCTATGCATTTGCTGCTCGGAGCTTCAAGAGTGGATTTAAAATGTCCAGTATCGCAAGACTCTTTGAACAAATGAACAATTCTTCCAAAGAGAAGAACGAGACAAGTGAAATACCAGCCTAAGCCACAGCTGCATGAATTTTTAAATGTATTAAAATTGATAATGGATCATGATGTTATAATGGAGCCTCATTAAGCATTGTATATTCTCTAACAGATTCTCTTGCGAAAATCTTTCTCCCTACATTTACAATTACGCTGCATTCTATTTCTTTGAAAAAAACAATGTTTTGTTTTTTGAAATATTGCAATTTTACTGCAGAATGAGTAATCCCTGACTGGTTCATAGATAGTCACATCAGGAGGGCTTTCCAATGGCTTTGGATGTCCTCCTGACGTGATAAGTACTATATAAATGCAAATCTGTGTCGATATTGTTCCTGTTGTTGTGAAACACAATTTATAATAGCTTGTTAAGTTGCCCGATGGTTTGTTTTGACTTGCATTGAGTCACATTGATAGCGAGCAGGATGGATGCAATGAATGGTACATATGGATGAAAGCTGTTTTTGTGCTATTATTGTACAGTATTTAGTAAACTATCATTGTTTAATGCTTTTATTCCACAAGTGAAAAAAATTACAAAGTTTTGATATTTGATTTTAGTTATTTGATATTTGGTATCAATATGGTATGAAAGGTATTTTTGTGTAGAGCTTTTATTACAGTGGTGGTAACATTGAATGCTTTGTTTATTCCACAACTGAAAGAAACTATAAAGTTGCAAGTCAACTACTTCTGTTTGTTCATTTATCCATTTTCATGCTGTTTAGTAAGAAATTGATAATAAACACTTTGTCACCTGTGGCCTTTTTCTGTTGAAAGAGTGTGTCGGACCCCAGCTCTCTTACGGCTTCCCGTTATACACCCATCAGGAATTAATCTTTGATGCTTCCTTGTAAATGTATCTGATCACCATACGGAGCAATGCATTTGAATGATGAAGCCTTTGTCATATGTGGCCTTTTTTTTGCTGAAAGTGCCTATCAAACCCCAGCCCTCTTAGAGCTTCCCACATCAGGAACTGTAGCTCAGTGGTTAGAGCACTCGCTTTGCAAGTGAGAGACTTGAGTTCAATTCCAGGCAGAGGGCGAAACCTTGGGCAAGTTTCCTTACTCCACACAGAGCCTAATAATAATCCCTGCAAAAACCAAAAAAAACAATAATAAATTGGTCATTTTCAATCTACGACTGTTTGTGGGACATTGCTGTGCGCAATTGGCTGCCGCGTTCGCCCACAAATATAGTCAATTTACTTTACAGTGTGTTCTGTGTAGCGCTTTGGGACGTCCTCCCGACGTGAAAAGCGCTATATCAAATGCAAGGATTATTATTATTATTATTATTATATTCTTTGATTGTTCTTGATAAATATGTCTGATCGCCATACAAAGCATGCATTTGTTCAATGATCCTGTATTTTTAATGAATTTTTGAATGGATTGCCAGCATCTTTTCCTTCAGCAAGTAGGCTTCAAACATCTACGGTCCTAGTGTTATTTGTGGGGTTGATTCTGGAATATTTGCTAAATTTAATAATCTTGGCAGGTGAGCATTTGGGATTTTTTTGCTGTTTGATAAACCAGGTGGTACAATTTGATTTCCTTGTTAAAACTGTCACATTGAAATGTGTATTGGCCTATAAAATAATGAACTGTTGCGTGTCTGCAATGTGTCTGCATGAAAATACTTCTCGTCAGTACTTCCTAGACAATGTGAAAAAATTACTTCCACATTACATCACGTTATACATTACATACCACACTCGCCTCTGAGTCATGAAGTTATGCTGTTCTGTGTTCTGTGAAGCGCTTTGGGATGTCCTCCCGACGTGAAAAGCGCTATTTCAAATGCAAGAATTAAGCGGTTTGAGCTCACCGTCCTGGCTGATATTTCAATACTTTGGGAGCTCAGCGTTGTTAAGAGTTTCCATACCTCAAATGAGACTTGAACGCAAGGACTTATTAAGGTGCGTTAAGGTGGACGGACATTAAAGGTCCAATGGCAGTGTTTGAAAAGAGAAGAGAATTTCTCCTAGTGGTCTGACCAATACTCCTCCAGTTAAAAATTTGGTCATTCACTTTATGGCTGCTTCTGGGTCACTGCTTTGTGCAAATTGTTTGCGACATTTGCCTACAAATATACTACACGTTACAGTGAAATCCTGTGAGATGCTTTGAGATGTTTTGATGACACAAGGCTCTAAATCAGCTGTAAGCATTACTATTATTATTATTATTATTGATAACCTCATACTGTAATCAACTGTTTTGCTTGGGGCATACTCTGAATCAAAGCAGTTGTTAGCCGCAGTAGTTAGTTATATTTATATCCATTTATCCCACATGAATTATTTTCTCTTTTGAGGAACCAATGCTCAATGCAAGGAACTGAGAACTAAAAAGAGTTTAGTCAACTGATCCACCTTGTACCTGCTTTGCAAACTCGTGTGTTGTCAGAATGTTCGTGGGTCATGTGTACAGACCTGAAAACTCGAGGTGTGAAACTGAAATTAAATGCATTGTTTCACAATGGTTGTTTCCTATCCATGCAAAATGCGTCTCAAAAGATCACAAAATTGGTCTAGATGACAGCAGTGCATCGGCCTATTCAATCTCATCGCTTCAGAACACGCACCCTACCATCCCTCATCATTGTATCAAGCTGCTTTCTAAGCGAGTCCAGTGTCCTGTCCTCCAACACCTTTCCTGGTACTCTGCTTCAGTCACTGGTTACCCTAGATCCATAGAAATTGAAATTAATGGAACAGAAGAAGGCCATTTGCTCCATTGTGTCTGTGCCAATATGCAAGAGACCACATTAATTATTGTCAAGTGCAGTGACTGCTTTTTGAAAATGAAAGCAGTAGCCATTTTGCACTAAGAAAGGTCCCATAAAGAGCGAGGAGGTGAATGACTAAATTTATCTGAAGGATTGTTGGCCAGAGCATCAAATAAAAAACATCTCCTTTCCTTCTCTTTCTGATTAGTGTCAGAGGATTTTAATAATAATTATTTGGTCACTCAAACCACGACTGTTTGTGGAGCACTGCTGCGTGCAATTGGCTGCTGCGTTTCATCTACAAAATATGTAGTCAATTCACTTTACAGTATATTCTCTGAAGTGCTTTGAGACGTCTCGGAGACGTGATAAGGTGCCATATCAAATGCAAGGATTATTATTATTATAACATAGTAGTGTAGCTTGGAATGGAAATATGGGTGGGCACTAATTTGTGGTATTTATGCACACGCACAGACACACAGTGTTTTACTTTTCTTTTTTTCCTTTTTTTTTACTTTCGATCTCTGCCCCTTCTGCCCTGCACCCTCCCCGACAGATGAGACTGAGTGCTAATTGGGTGGGTTGTGACCCACCCAAACCCATCTGTGGTTCCACGTCTGCAATAAAATCCTCTTTAACTAATAATATGGTTGAGGGGCTTTCATGTCAGTAGGAAGTTACTGTTCTCAAAACAGTGACTCTCACCCCAAATTTAAGTATTAATTAAAAATATAAGTAAGAAAGCACTTTGAAACGTTCCTGTGAACATGAAAGCATCTGACAGATGAACGTGCTGAAGTTTCAATGTAAAAAGCTGCTGCACTGCTGTCAACCAGAATGCTGCTTTAAAGCTTTTCTTTCACACCCATGCAATTTCCTGTAAACCGTAGGAAATGAGATAAACAAGTTACTTTTCAACTGACATAGCTGAGAACAAAATCAGCTCTGTGTTTGTTAAAAAACTTGCACGTGGATCACAAGGAATTACAGTCCACAAAGCAACAGCCTGAAGTCTTAGGCAAATGGCGCTGTCCAATATCCCTGTGGATCAGAATGCAACTCTTCACACTTTTAGACCAGTGCAAAATGCAGTGAGCTGTGTTGTTCTTGGTATCGTTTTTCTTGTAGGATGACCGGGAAATGCTTTAGTGATCTGGATTATTCTTCGCCACATTAAAACAAAATCTCCCACTATCCAGCTGATATTGCACCTGGCCTTTGCAGATTTCATCGTGCTCATCACTCTGCCGCTGTGGATTCATTCCCTGGTCAATGGCTGGGTCTATGGAGAGCTGTTCTGTAAAACTGCGACCTTCCTCATCTTCTGTTCTTTATATGCCAGTCTGTTCTTCATCACCTTGGTGAGTGTCAAGCGCCTGATGGCTGCGCTCTACCCATTTGCTACTCATGGATTTATTGGTAAAGCAATCATCAGTATTTGGGTTTCAGCTTTTCTGATTGCTATTTATTCTCTCATTATCCAAAAATTAGAAAATAGAAATGGACAGCTAAAATGTGTGACTTCCTACTCGTCCGGCCAGCAACAAATAGTAATTTGTCTGTTTAAGCTCTTGGTTGGTTTTGTCGTTCCTTTCACCACTCTGTTGGTCTGTTACACCATTGTTTTCAAAAGAATAAAACAAATGACCTTTCAAACAAGAGGGAAATCTGAAAAGTTAATTATAGGGGTTGTAGTAACTTTTGTACTTTGCTGGTCGCCTTATCAAATAACAAACATCATCACAATTTCTTCACTGATGATCGAAAGCAGCAACTCTGAATTTGCATTGACATTAAAAAACATTGTTGAAACAATGGATATTGTTACTGGAACCTTAGTTTTCATCAGCAGCTGCAGTAACCCTATTCTGTATGCATTTGCTGCCCGGAGATTTAAGGCTGGGTTTAAAATCTTAAGTTTTGCTAAACTCTTTGAATATATAAACCGTCCTTCTGAAGAACTTCAAAATCCAGGAAGGGACAATGCAGAAGAAAACTCAGGAAGGGAAACAGAAGAACGAATTGATCCATAAAACATCTTATCATTATATATGTATGTTTTGCAACCACAAATAATATGGATTCATTGAGCATACTGCAATTTAAAAATTGAGAGATTAATAAGGATGTGATTGATGGTTTAGGTTAGATGATTAATTCCCATGTGTTGTCATGCAGGTTGCTCAGATATTAAGTATCATAATGAAAATGATAAGTTTTCTGTTAAGATTGGTGGAAATCAATTTTATTTTAGTTGATTTTCGTAGAATTGTACAGAACATTAAAGCAAGGAAACAGATTTTTTATGGTTGCTTACTAAGCCAACTTCTTATTTTATTTCTTATTTTACTTCTGGCAGTGAGTTTCACATTCTCACCATGCCTTCTATGCCTTGAAAACCCAAAGCCTGATCAGCCCTTTTTTCAGAGATCACCAGTACTGCAACAGCTCCAAAGTAGGGAAGTTATGGTAAACTTCTATAGAATCTTGGTTAGACCACACTTAGAATACCGTGGGCAGTTCTGGTCCTCAGATTACAGAAGAAATATAGAGGCACTGGAGAGGGTGCAAAGGAGATTCACAAGGATGATCCCAGAACTGAGAGGTTATACCTATCAGGAAAGGCTGAACATGCTTGGATGCTTTTCTCTTGAAAAGAGGAGGGTAAGGGATAGAGGTCTTTAAAATTATGAAAAGTTTTGATAGGGTAGACATAAATAAGATGTTTCCACTTGTGGGGGAGATCAAAACCAGGGGCCATCAATATAAAATAGTCACAAATAGATCAAATAGGGAAATGAGAAGAAATTTCTTCACACAGAGAGTAGTGGGAATGTGGAACTGCTACCACAAGGGGTTGTTGACGAAAATAGCATAGATGTATTTAAGGGAAAGTTGAATAGGTACATGAGGGAGAAAGGAATAGAAGGTTACGCTTGAAGGCTTAGTTGAGGAAGGGCATGTATTTAAGGGAAAGTTAGATTGATACATGAGGGAGAACAACAACAAGATTACATTTGCATTGCGCCTTTCATGTCGGGAGGAAAGGAATAGAAGGTTATGGTTGAAGGCTTAGTTGAGGAAGAGCAGGAGGAAGCTCATGTGGAGCATAAACACCGGCATAGACCAGTTAGGTCAAATGGCCTGTTTCTGTGCTATATGTTCCAATGTATTCTAATGTAATTTTGTGATCTTAGTTGCTTTACTTCCGTTTGCAGTTAAATGTTTGAAATCTTTATGCATTTGGTGTTTGTGGGTTTTGCTTTATGTCCAGAAATTCTGCTAAACTAACACCACAATTATGCAATCTGCAATAGAGAAGTGCATCAGAACTACGACTAGATTCTGTTAGCAGAGTGTGGTTCTGTTGAAATTTCCCATACATTTAGAAAAACGCTATTCCTGTCATCCACTGACATCAGAGATGGGCGCCCACGTTTAAAACGAGAATATTCATCTGATCAGCAGCAGATCACAGTTCTTCTGCTGGAAACCTTGATTGGATTTGTCATTCCGTTCATCACACTGATGGTCTGTTTTCAAAAGAGTCAATCTTCCAAACCTAGGGCAAGAATAAAACTGGAAGGCTGATTGTGGGTGTGGTGATTCTGTTTGCACTTTGCTGGTTACCATATCATACAAGAAATGTCATTAAGGTTTCGTCAGTGCTGAACAAGACTTCAAACCCAGAATACTCGAAAAGATTGAAAGTATTTATAGTTACATTTCGATGCTTTCTAAAGTTTTAACTTTTGTTAGTAACACTGCTAATCCTACTCTTACCAAAACGTTCCTCTGTACGTTTACAATCTTGTTGCAGACCGCTTCTTTAAAAAAAATGTTCAAACAATATCTATTTTTATTGCAATTGTATTTTCCTGCAGAATGAGTAAACATTGACTGGTACATAGATAGTTGCAAAACACAGTTTATAATAGCTTATTAGGTTACCTGATGGTTTGCGTTGTTTATATTCAGTCACATTCATAGCTAGCAGGGTGGGTGCGTGGAATAGTATCATAATAATAATCCTTGCATTTTTGATATTTGTTATCATATATGTATGAAAGGTATTTTTGTTTTAGTGTAGAACTGTTATACAGTGGAGGCAACATTGAATGCTTTGTTTATTCCACAAATGCAAGAAACTGTAAAGTTGCAAGTCAACAACTGCCGTTTGATCATTTATCCATTTTCACGCTGTTCAGTAAGAAATCGATAATAAACACTTTGTCACCTGTGGCCTTTTTCTGCTTAAAGAGTGTGTCAAACCCCAGCTCTCTTACAGCTTCCCGTTATTCACCCATCAGGAATTAATCTTTGATGCTTCCTTGTAAATGTGTCTGATCACCATACAGAGCAATGCATTTGCTCAGTGATCCGATGTTTCGAGTGAATGTCTTGAATGGATTGCCAGTAATCCCTCCAAACAAAAAACAATAATAAATTGGTCATTTTCAATCTACGACTGTTTGTGGGACATTGCTGTGCGCAATTGGCTGCCGCGTTCGCTCACAAATATACAGTCAATTCACTTTATAGTGTGTCCTGTGAAGCGCTTTGGGACGTCCTCCCGACGTGAAAAGCGCTATATCAAATGCAAGGATTATTATTATTATTATTATCTTTTCCTTCAACAAGTCTGCTTCAAACAGCTACGGTCTTAATGTTATTTTGGGGTTGATTGTCCATTCTTCACTAAGTTTACTAATCTTGGCTGGTGAGCATTTTGGATTTTTTGCTGTTTGATAAACCAGGTGGTGCAATTTTCATGTGCTTATTAAAGCCTCCGCTGTGTAACATTGAAATGTCTATTGGCTTGTCTGCAGTGTGTCTGCATAGAAACATTTCCTGTCAATACTTCCTAGACAGTGTGTGACAAAATTACATCCCCATTACATTACATCACATCCTACACTCTTGTCTCTGAGTCATGAAGTTATGGGATTTGAGCTAATATTTCAACATATTGGGAGCTCAGCATTGTTAAGAATTTCTATTCCTCAAATGAGACGTTAAATCAAAGTCTTGTCTGCCTGTTCAGGTGGACGTTAAAGGTCCAATGGTACTGTTTGGAAAGAGGAGGGAATTTCTCCTTGTGTTCTGACCAATTCTCCTCCAGTTAACAATTTGGTCATTCATTTCATAGCTGTTTATGGGTCACTGCTTTGTGCAAATTGTTTGCCTCATTTGCCTACAAGTACACAGTGACTACACTCTACAATAGCAATCCCTCAAGAAAAAAAATAATAAAATTGGTAACTTTAATCCATGATTGTTTCTGCGCAATTGACTGCCGTGTTTCACCCACAAATATATAGTCAATTCACTTTACAGTATATTCTGTGAAGCATTTTGAGACATCTAGAAAAGTGCTATATCAAATGCAAGGATTATTATTACAGTGAAATCCCATGACAGGCTTTGAGATGTTTTGACATACGACACTAAATCAGCTGTACCTATTATTATTTGAATGCATAACCACATACAATCATTGCTGTTTTGCTTGGGGCATACACTGAATCAAAGCTGGTGTTAGCCATGGAAGCTAGTTATATTTATATCTATTTATCCCTTCATGAATTATTTTCTCCTTTAAGGAACTGATGCTCAATGCAAGGAATAAGAAACTGAAAATAGTTTAAGTCAATTTGGCCACCTTGTGGCTATTTTGCAAACTCACAGCCAAAATAAGATGTGTTGTCAGGATGTTCATGGGTCATGTTCTCCTCTTTAGGAGTCAAAAAAATTGGAGTAATTAAAAAGAAATATGTGAAGTCGATCTTTAGCCAGCAGTGTAATCCAAGCTGCACAAGACTTTGCAGATCTGAAATGTGTTGTTTCACAATGGTTGTTTGCTATTCATGCAAAATGGGTCTCAAAAGATAATAATAATAATAATTATCCTTGCATTTGATATTGCAACTAAAAATAGCCTTATCATGTCATCTAGATGTCTCAAAGCGCTTCACAGAATATACTGTGATGTGAATTGACTGGATATTTTGTGGACGAAACACGGCAGACGTGAAAATATATCAAATTTATATCAAATGCAAGGATTATTATTATTATCCTTACATTTCTCTCATCACATCTTCAGAACATCTCAACATGCTTCACAGGCTGCCCGACAGCAAATAAAATCTTTCACCCACAGTGTGGAAATAGCCCTGGACAAGGTGACAAATGACATTCTGTCCATCTTTGATCAGGGCTCCCTCTGTCTCCTCATTCTCCTTGACCTCTTTGCTGCCTTCAACAATGTGGACCACTCCATCCTCTTCCACCACCTCTCCTCTTAACTTAACCTTCAAGGTTCTGTCCTTGAATGGTTCAGATCCTGTCTCTCACACCAGCTCCACTGTCTCCACAAACAGCTTCTCGTCCAGCCCCTGCACCGTCTGGTGCAATGTTCCTCAGGGATCTGTCCTTGGTCCTCTCCTCTTCAACCTGGACATGCTCCCTCTTGGTGACATCATCCGCAGACATGGGGTCAACTTCCACATGTTTGCAGATGATACCCAACTCTATATCTCTGCCTCCACCCTTGACTCCAGGACCACTGCTGTCCTGCCGAGTGCCTGTCAAACATCAAGTCCTGGATGAGAGTCAACTTTCTACAGTTGAACGTCAGCAAAACCAAGACTCTCCTGATTAGCTCATGCCAGCCCCTCTGCACCTCAGGCATTGGCAGGATCAGTATCCACAGATGCACACTCCACCTCACCAAGCCAGTCAGGACGCTAGGCATCTTGTTCGAACCTCAACTGTCCTTTCTCCCCCACATCCGTGCCATGAACTCCCTCTGCCTTCTCCCCACCTCTGCAACATTGCCTGAGTCCACTCCTGCCTCACCCCTCAGGCCGCTGAAACCCTCATATATGCCTTCATTACATGTAGGCTCGACTATGCCAACTCCTTGCTTATCGGCCTTCCCAAAACTTCCCTCCACAGGCTGCAGATCATCCAGAACTCTTCGCTCGTGTCCTCTCTCGCACCATGCTCCGTGACCCCGTCATACCCACCCTTGCCTTCTTCAAGGTGAGTCTCCAAACTCTTCTCTTCGACCATATCTTCGGCCACTCTCCTACTTTCTCTGCC